GTGTGTGTGTGTGTGTGTGTGTGTGTGTGTGTGTGTGTGTGTGTGTGCCCCCAGATGGTGAAGACACTGAATTCCTGAGTGCAGTAAGGAGTGTTTGTCTGAAGTCAGGCCAAGAAGACACTCTGAACATCCACTACCTGCCCTTCTGCCCAAGCACCAAGTACTGCTCTGTGCTGCTAGTTTGCCCGCAGGTCAGTGTTGAAAGAAATCTTCACATTGAAGATTTTATGTGTGCAAACAAACATGCTAATTGTTTGTATGTCGGTGCAATTACATTTGTCTACAAGACGTTTCAGTAAAGTGCAAAAATGGGGAATGCTTTGAGCCAGTACCAAAAACCGGTTGCTACAGACTGTAATAACAAAAATCCTTATTCGTAACACAGTGTCATTTTGTGTCAGGAATCAGGTACATGCATATAGAGATGGAATTGAATCAGTAGTGTGCTTATCTCTAACCACACACTGGTATAAACGTGTTCAGTAGCATTGTGTGTGCTGCAGCGCCCCTAGCTGGTCATGCAACAGCAGTAGCGTTGTTTAAGAAGGGAGTTTCCCTCAGAGCTCATGAGGCAGTGCGACCGCTTCAGCTGCCGCAATTAATAGTATAGCTGTTCGGACACCGTCTGTGAGTATGTTGTTTGATCACTTTTTCGTATATTATTAGAAGAATATAGTTGCCGTTCTTTGGGTTACTGAAAAATGCAAGTAAAAGGGAGTTAATTGATAGCTACCTTAGCTGTAAGCTATTTAGTAGCTAGCACTGCTTCGCATGTTACTCAGCAGTTTCGGTTTCTAGCCGTGGCGGTCCGCGAGCCCGTGGAAAGTAACGCTGAACTCTGTGTGCGGGCACGTGACGTGGAACGTCTCATGCAGTTGTCCGATAGGGCAAGTATGAAATAAATGTAATCTATGTTAGGGGCCGATATTTAGTTAAACAAATGCGATAGGAAGATCACCGCCTATGCAACGTTGTGCATTGGCATGAGTAGAGCTAACGTCAATTAGCTGCTAACGTCAATTAGCTGCTAACAGCTACAGCACTCACGGATAATGGAGCTAACGGTTGCATTGAGTTACATTATGGTGCATTCAGGCTCCAAACAGTAAACATGAGTATTGGGCGAAGGCACATTACAACGTCATCGTGATGTGTTCAAATGTAATCTTGTAAAATTTAGATTTTGGCGAGAAATTTGAATAAATACAGTTGTTTGAAGGAGATATTTTCAAAGGAATATAAAATTGATATAAGAGATGGAGCTATGACCTGGTTAACTTCCTAACACTAGCTTTATGCAGCTGATAAATCATCATTAAAACTACTAATGTCATCATCTCAAAAATGTTTATTCTCAGCAAATATTTAAATTAAAATATAATATTTTTTTTCTAATCTTTTGAATAGCATGAGTTAGTTTATAGATGACAATAACCAAGTAAAAGGATAATTTGTTGAATATTTGTCGGGTTGTTTTGTCCAATTGTCCAAATCCTTGTTAAAATCAGTTTTTTTTAATTAATAGGCCTACATTTTCCCTTTTGTCTCTGTGTGTCCCTCTAGGTGGGAGATATGGTCTATATGGTGAAGGCCACAGCAGAGTTGCCTCTTCCTTCCCCTTTCACTGCCTGGCCCAGTTCCAACATAGTCTCCATCCCCTGCAACTCTGGTAGGAACCCTGTCCCCCCAAACATCACCAATTATCATTTAATCATGAAGTATTTGAATGTGGATTACTTCACTGACGTTTCTCTCCACCAATAGAGCCAGCTGTGTGTGTGACAGTACTAAGCCTACAATGCAAGGTGGGGCAGGTGTGTGAAGAGTTGGTGCGCGCGCCGCTCATCAATATGGCCCGGGAGCTAGCTCTGATCATCTGGGGTCAGTACAGCATGAGCGCTGATGAACACAGGAGGCGTAAACTGACGCATTCTTTGCACAGCAGCACCGTGAGGGCAGCCACGGCTGTGCGCAAGCTCGTCAAACATCAGGTACATTCTCACCCAGGCAGGATCCTGGAATGTTTTCTTTGTTGTTTACCAGCTGTCCCTCTGTTTCCTCTTGTCTCTTGTTAGGCCCAACTGTTGAGAGATGTTCACCACAGTAAAGGAGTAGAATACAGCGTGGAGGTTTCTTTGCCACAATACTTTGCTTTACCCAGCAATGTTACAATACCTATAAAGGAAGACAGCAACATATCATGGGAGAATCCTGCAGGTACACACACACACAAAAAGAATGTAGTATGATGTGTGAGTAGCTGGAATGAATGATGCTGCAGAGGTGGAATAGGAGACCCCAAACTCTCCTGTGCACTCACTTTTGTTTGCAAACTAAGTCTCTCGTTGTGTTTATCTTAACATATTGTAAAACGTTTATAACCCTACTGTAATAAACATTAAGGTAGTAAATGTCTGACCTTCATCTTACTGATAATTAGTGTCTCCACTTGTCCTATAGGGAGTCAAATGTACACATTGTTAAGCATAATGGTTTTACATTGCGCAGACAGCAGCGCACACACAACATATAGTTGCAATTGTGGTCCATGGGGCGGGTAAACTTGGGCTACTCAAAATATTAAGGGTTCCTCCGGGCGGGCGGGTCAAAAAGTGATGAAGCAGCATTCATTGTAAGTTATTAATAACTTACAGAAACATTGAGAGAAGGGAAGAGAAGGTTGAAAGTGCACCGTCACTCTTGCTCCCCCTCTTTCTCTCTAAAACACAGAAATACACACACACAGCGAGCGCTGCAGCACTCAGTTCTTGTCTCTGTCCACCTGACAGTTGTGCTACTTTAATGCATAAAGTTGGTTGTTTGCCAGTCGGGTTTGGAATCGGCCAATAAATTTGCAATCGGTGCATCTCCACATGTTATTTGTTTATGTAACTGTCAAAACTTCTCCTGTCCCTGAGTCTCCTTATCCCTCTGTCGAACAGATTGTGGCTGTGTGGACATCCCAGTACGGTTCCAGGCGGACTCTGTGGGGCAATTTACATGTCAGGTGGTCCTGAGGTCCTGGTGTGACACCAGGGTCTATGTGCTAGAGGCGCTGGTCACTTCACAGGTAGATACCAGCTGGTATTGGAGCTTAGTAAACCTGTAACAGGTGCATTCATTATCCCTGGTTTGCTTGTTGGTTCATGTGGTTAATGGTTAATGTTACTGAATGTCATTTGTGACAACAGGGAGGATCCGTCCACTTGGACTTCAGTTCGCCTGCTCACCGCTCACTCACGCAAGACATACCACTGGTGAGGAGCAGGAGAGATGCATTACTCAGTCTGTGTGTGTGCTGCTTATTAACGGCTTTCCTAGAAGCATTTAATTAATTATGACTCATTTTAGATGATACTTGGAAGAGAGTGGTAATCCTGAATCGACAGCAACCAAAAAGCATGTTCGAACTGAATCTTTGACAAATGATATCACTTGACCAAAGCTAACACATTTAAAGTTTGTGGTTAAAAAAAGTAGATGATGGAAGATTGCTTTCAACATATTGCCAAATGTTTAATAATCGTGAATAAAGTAAAATGATCATGCTTATGTATCATCTCTCACAGCACAATGAGACCCATCAAGACTGGAAAATACAAGCTGAGGTGTGTGGTGAAGGATTCTCCGGCCCAAAGACTTTGGATGTGCTGGCAGGGACAAGAGCCTGCTACCCACTCACCTTTCAGCCTTCTGCACAACGCATTGTCATGGTAATGCCATTTTTTTGTTGTGGTTTCATTGTGTCCATCTTTCTTTGTGTTTTTCTTGCTTGTTTTCTGTCTTTGTCACATTCTTGCTATTTAACCTCCTGGCATTATTTACACTTTCTGTACACATTTTGAATGTGAAACTGTGCTGCTGCTCGCATTTGTGTGTTGTCTGCACAGATGCTGCTGCTGAGATGTTAAAAAAAAAAAAGTGGTAGAATTCGATTCCCGGCCAATGCAAACACATTTTTGTGTGTGTGTGTGTGTGTGTGTGTGTGTGTGTGTGTGTGTGTGTGT